TACTCCTTCCCTCCTCTCCTCCCTCCTCCTCCTCCTCCTCCTCCTCATCCTTCCCCTTCCTCCTCCTCCTCATCATCATCATCATCATCATCATCATCATCATCATCATCATCAATCATCATCATCATCATCATCATCACATCATCATCATCATCCTCATCCTCATCCTCATCCTCATCCTCCTCCTCCTCCTCCTCCTCCTCCTCCTCCTCCTCCCCCTCCTCCTCCTGGGCCCTGCCCCCTGTTGGGCCTCGGCAACCTTGGCTGCCCAGATTCGGGCGTCGGCAGAACTGGGTCTAGTGGGACCTGGAGGTGTGATGCCAAACATGCTCGCGTCGTAAAAGGATCAGGGCGGGAGGTTCCGTCAAAAAACGACTCGGGATGAAAAACCGGTCCCAGGGAACGGGTCGGGACTTCAGGGACCCCATCCTGGAAAAATCAGGACGTCGCATGTCTGGGATGCGTACTGGGGGGCGCCCCCCCGCCCCGTTCCACTAACTGGAGCTGCCGTCACCCGAAGAACACCAGCTACAGCAGACCTGGTTTTAGTGAGTCTTGCCGATTTGGGGGGCTCCGGGGCCCCACCACTAGCCGGGGTCCCCTTACCTGGGGTCCTGGCTATGCCCGAACCTTCGCTGCCCAGATACGCAATACGCAATACAGGAAGGATGGGGGGAGGAGGGAGGGGAGGGGGAGGAGAAGGGGAGGGGGAGGGGAGGGGGCGTGGGAGGGGAGGGGGAGGCGGGGGAGGAGTTGATCGACTCGGCAAGGGCGTGGGAGCGTGGGAGGTGGAGGGGCTTAGCTGCCCCGATGGCAGCCCGTAGCGTATTGACAAGGAGCTCAACACGCAGACTGAGCACGCAGGTCGAGCGCGATGCGCTCGCCAAGGCGTGAGCCAACACGTGTTGAGCCGACACGCAGCGTGTGGACACGGACGCTTTGAGCACGGCACGTGCTGCGCTGCAGAACGGGCGTGACGGGCCGGTCGGCTGGCAACCCGTGGCCGACTGGCCCCAAAACATGCCGACGTCTGCCTCTGAAGGGGCCCAAGGGGCACACAAACGAATAGACACAACTCCCAGGACTCCCCATCTTTTCCCTTCCTGCCTGGGTGTTCGCCTTGCCCCGCACTTCCCAGCTTTTCCCGAATTCTCCTGGGAGTCGGCGATGGATTGTATCTGCGTGCGTTCGTCCCTCCTGAAGCTGGCAACGTGTGGCCGACTGCAGCACCCCCAGAGCCCAAGAGTGCCGACGCCAACCTTTTCATCTCCACCGCCTTCCGCCGCCCTCGACTGCACGCGAGAGGGGCCCTTCAGAGGAGGGGAGGGTGGGACGCACCGAGGCATACTGATACTACATGTCCTCCTTGGAGGCGCGCATCCGACCCGAACATATACAGTCAAAACGTATATCAAGGACGCGTGGCAAGGACGCAAGACCCTTCGAGGCCGAAGTTGGGTTGTTTTAGGGCGGCGAGCGCCAGTGATAATGGCAGGGACGGGCCGCAGAGGCAAGGACACAAGGGTAACCTAGATGAAGGCGCGCGTGCTTACTAGGCGCGTTGACTGTAGTATACCCATCTTGTAGTATATCGTTTCCCGAGCAGTGTGACCAGAAAGTGCCCGCCACGACACATATACTACAAGATGTCTCGGTGCGCGCGTCGCCCCTGAGGGGGCGACGCACACATCGTATTCACCACTACGTGTTCTTCGAACAGAGAACGTTCTAACAACAAGAAGCACATGTCTTACAACAGATATCCGATAGATACAACAAGAACGAGACGGTCTGAGTCAGAAGTGTCCTAAGAGCATCTCGTGCAAGTCAGACATGGTTACTGTGGCACTCTTTGGTGGTCCTGCAGGCAAGTCGGGACGCTTCGCCTCTGCCTGAGTCAGGGGAGCAGATCATCACGCGCACATGCGATGCCGACATTATCGAGCGCGAAATGTGCGGCAGAAAACTATCATGGTTTGTCATGGGTTGCTTTGCGGGCTGCTCGGTGAGAACGCGGTGAGGTCCGCGGATCCGGAACGCTGTCCATGCACGTGTCCAATCGATCGAGGCCATGTGGGCATCGTGGGCCGAAATCGTCGCCGCATTCCGTCATTGGCGCGGCTTCTGCGAGAAGCATTTCGCGTGGACAGTTACACACACGTTCAATTCGGGCATCGTTTGAGGCATCATTCGGGCATCGCTTCGGGAATCAAGTCGGGCAGCGCAATTGGTGAACGAAGCTTCGGGCACCGACTTCGGGCGAAACTTCGGACGCAACTTCGGGCACAATCTCGGGCGCAACTTCGGGCACGACATAGGGAACGAAGTCGGGCAATGCACAGTGTTTCTTCCGACTGCCTCATCGCAGCAGTAAACAGGCCACAAGAGTGCGTTTGCGGCAGCATGCCTTGTCAACATACGGTCTGCTGATGGGTATAACGATGACGATGACGGCGACAACTAAGGAAGCCAAGACGATAATGATGATGATGTCTATGGCTGCGACGACTCAAAGTAGCACAGCTTCCATAAAGGATAGTATCGGCACGCCTACCTTTCGGGCTCATCAATAAGATCTATTTTGAGAACAGATGGGGAAACCAAAAGGTACAGATACCGCTACTCCCCGGACCTTTCCCGGGGTGCGTTTTGACCAGAATTTCGAGGCGAATCCAGCGGTGGCGACGAGGGCCTCCCAGGAGGCCCCAATAGGGCAAAACAAGGCAAGGGTAGCCACATGGGTACCTTTCCTCCTCCGAGATCTCTCTTTTTCCGGTCGCCCGCGCCCAGAGGCTCCGCCCCACAGCGGCGGGCCCTCAGCCTCACGCGCGGCCTGCCGTCCTTGCCCTTGCGCCGCTGGAGGCGCAGGTTGCGGCGCTCGGCGCTGGGCCCCACCAGCGGGGGCAGGCCCCGCTTCCGCCGCCAGTCGGCGGACTTCCGGCCCAGGGAGCGGGCCTGCTTCTCCTGACGACCACCTGGGCCACCCCAACCCAACCCGAAGGCCCCAACGGGGTTCCACATGTGCTTGTTCAATGTTCCCGCGCCCCCCCCCCCCCCCCAACTGGGAATGGGGGACACATTGGAGCCTCAGGGTCGGGTCGGGGTGGCTTGGTGGTAGGTGATCTCCACGTGGAACAGGTGCTCGCGCAGGGTGCCGTGGCACATGCTGCCCAGCGTGCCGTTGAACACCTCCGCCGCGAGCTCCTTGATGCTGAGCTCCCTGCCGCCAGCCAGCACGCGCCAGATCCGCACGCGCACCGTCTCCTCCACCCCCTCGTCCTCCTCCTCCCCTGCCTCCTCCGCGCACCTGAGGGGACTGACTCCGGCGGGGGAGCATCGACCTGGAATCGGCGATACGTCGCCGATCAGTCGGCGATAGGGCCCCGACAGCAGAACCGACCCTTCCTGGGCGGGGTGGGCCATCGGGGCCCTATCGGCGATCGGATCCCCGCATCACGCCCGGGCCTATCCCCGTCCCTGGTTGCTTCCGGGCCACAACTCAAACTTCTGGCGGCCTCTCAGGGCAGTCAAGGCCCCCCCCCTGGAGAAGGCTCTCGGCGAGGCGCGGCCGCTGGAGCACGCACCCCGAGGCTGAAAAACCGCCGAAGGGCCCACGAAAAAGCAGAAGATGGCCGCGTGATAGCGCGCCCCTAACCGAAGAGACGCGAATGCCCATGTGGAACACACGTCGACAACTGACTGTCACTACACCGTTAAGCACGAGCCACGTCCACACCCGCAGAGCGAAGGGCTGGGAAGGGGCATGCCACTCCTTGGTAAAAACCATGCTCAAGTGGTCCAAGGACACACAGATAAATACACACAAATAAAAAGATGCCCCATATTTTCCTACATGTTCTAGGTTTTTGTCTTCCCGCCCAATTCCCATATTTTCCAATATTTTATTGGGATCGGCGATTTATTGTGTCTGTGTTTTTTTCCCTCCTGACATGCGACAATCGTGGCCGCCGCGAACGCCGCGGCGACCTCCAAAACCGACCAGGACGTTTGGTCCCAGGCCGGATATCACGCAACGCCCGAAAGCCTCGAGCCCCGCTGCCGAGGAAGCCGCCCCCCCAAACTTGGCGGCGCGCTCAAGAGGAAGGGGGAGTGAGAAAGGCCTCTTATAAAAAGGCTGCCTCTCAGAAGGGGCCGGCCCTTCGTCTAAGGTCCACGCCTTCTGAGAAGCAGGGGTGTTGCTAAGAGGCCTTCCCCAATCCCCCCAACAACCTCTGCGCGTGGCCGGCTCTTGCGAATAAACGCTCATTGACGCTATCATCGACGCTGAATCGACGCACACCGACGCTCATCGACGCTAATGGACTCACAGGTATGTCTAAGAAGCCTTCCCCCCTTCCCCCCCTTCTGTGTGTGGCTGGCCAGCGCTGCCCGCCTGGCCGCCCCGCAGAGGAGGAGGAGCAGCAGGAGGAGGAGGGAGGAGCAGGAGGAGGAGGGAGGAGGGAGGAGGAGGAGGAGGGGCAGGAGGCGAGTGGAGGAGAAGGAGGAGGAGGAGGAGGTGAATATGCAGGACGAGGACGAGGAGGAGGACGAATCGACGCTGAGCGACGCCAGCCGACGCTTATCGACGCTAGATCGGCGATAGTGGACGCTAGGTCGGCGCTTTCTCATCGCCTACGACAGGGAGGAGGTGAATATGCAGGACGAGGACGAGGAGGAGGGCGAATCGACGCTGAGCGACGCCAGCCGACGCTTACCGACGCGAAATCGGCGCTCATGGACAATGGGTTCGGCGCTTTCTCATCGACTACCAAGCGCTAGTCGACGCTGGCACTCCAAAGACAGAATTGCGCAGGTACAGTCGGGCTGCTGCACTAAGGAACGCTGGATAAGGAACGAAGCCCCTGTTTTGGCCCCGGAAGTGCCTGCGTACACGAGGAGGGCTAGAGGAACAGCCACGGATGCACCTGAGAGACAGCGAGCCCCTTCCAGACCCAAAGCAGCCCTTAGTTTCAGCGCCCCCTGAGATTCGACAAGTCAAAAACATTGCAACATGGTGAAATATCGCCGCCGGAGCTCTAGCCACCATCTTTCTGCGTCATCTTTCGAGCCGGATCGATTTGAAGGCCCTGGGGCCCGAAACCAGGCGAAAAAGCGCCCGGTGTGAAAAAAAGAATTGCAGCGCCAAGATCTGAGGGCGATGCCCCTATACGAAGTACACTCGGGCCGCTGAAATCAGGAAGGGTAAACAAGGAACGACGCCCCTGTCAAAAACCACCAGCATGCACGAGGAGGGCTAGAGGAATAACCACTAGAAAGACCCAAGGAACATCGAGCCCCTGTCGTGCCCAGAGAAATATGCAGGACGAGGACGAGGAGGAGGGCGAATCGACGCTCATCGACCCTAGCCGACGCCCATCGACGCGAAATCGGCGCTAATCGACGCTATGCCCGTGGCTCCTTGGAGGCGTGCGTCCAACCCGAACCTATGATAGACCCATCCTGTAGTGGATCGTTCCCCGAGCGGTGTGGCCGGAAAACGCGCCCGCCAAGACGCTCAGACGACAAGCTCCTTCGGTCCCCGCGTCGCCCCTGGCGGGGCAGCGCCCACATGGGCGATCTCGAACACCCCGAACCCGAAAACGTCTTCGTCTCCTGGGGGCGCTGTCTTCCACTTTCACCGCCCTCCGCCGCGCTTCCGCCGGGCCACCGCTGGCCCTTCGGGTCGGGCCGCAAAGGGGGGGATATAGCAAAGGGGGGGGGTTGAGAATCAGCTCACGCAGCTGATTTTTCCCGGCGCCTCCCGGCGCCGGAGGCGCCCATGTATCGAGGGATGGCCCCTCGGTGGGGCCGAAACCAGCTGCATGCAGCAGATTTCGTACCCCACCCCTTCCCACTCCCCCCTTTCGTCCGGCCGAGCCTTTTGCCTCCGCCGACCTCCCTGAGGCGTGGCCGGCCGGCCGTTGCCCGTGAGCACCCCGCCCACCGGCCAGCGCCGCCCGCGCGCACCCGCCGCGCCGGCTGGCGGCACGCCAGCGCGCCGGCGGCGCCGGCGGCGCGCCGCGGGGCGCGGCCGCCGCGGGCGGCGCGGGCCGGAGCGTCGGACGCCCGAAAGGGGCACGGAGGAGGGCACGAGGCCCCAGGACGCGGAGGGCCTGCCGGCGCCCCTGCCCCGCGCCCCCCCCTGCTCCTAGAACCCCGCGCCCCAGGACACGGGGGGCCCGCCAGCGCCCCAGGCCCCGCGCTGCTCCTCAACCCCGCGCCCCAGGACGCGGAGGGCCCGCCAGCGACTGGTGTGGTCCAGAATCGGCAGCGGCCGCTGTTGGGCGGGCAGCCGTTCTGCCTCCCGGGGGCAGCGTCCGCGGCGGTGCGGAGGGCGAGGCCTGCTCAAGATGGACGAGCACTGCTGTTGGGCATCGTATTAGGTCGGGCATGTCCTCCTACAGGCAGATGTTCGAAGACAACTAACAGATTGTCAAATCATGCTCCCAAAATGATCACATCAGCTAGACAAATCGTCACCATACGTTCTGTGACTACTCTTGAACATTCCTCCTGTAGAGGGACAAGCCCGACTTACGCATCGCACCAATTATTTCCGTACCCATTTCGTTCGTGCCGATGAGCAGGCAGGCCGCTACCGCGCCCGCGGCGAGGCGGCGTGGCGCGACGGCCGCCGGGACCCGCATGGCAGCGCCCTGGGCCCAAGTGGCTGCGGACCCTGTTGACATGCACTACGAGCGTCCCCTCTTTCCCATGTTGGCCCTGGCGGGCCCCTCATGTAGTTAGGCCCCGAGGGCCTAGTGGTGTGTGTCGGGCCTGAGGAGGCCCCGATAGCCAGCTGCCGCCGCTGACGCGCCTCGCTCCATAACCGTTCTGGCTCCGAAGAGCTCTTGAGCGCACGGGCTCACACCTGAAAAGTCTTCGACGGCGGCGGCCGTCACTTGACGGTAGCGAAGCTGGCCGACTCGCCCTCGGTCAGCTCCCGCCTCCGCCGAGGCAGCGCGCAGGTGAACACGATCACGCCCCTGGCGAGGGCGGTGGCCGTCCAGCGGGGAGCTGGAGGGCATCCACGGCAAGGAGGTTGGCGGCTCCTCATCGTGCTGGGCCAGGGCGGCTTGGCACACACTGGCAGCGGCGAGCCTGACACGCTCAACGTGTGCAACACCGGCAGCGGCGAGCCTGACAAGCTCGACGTGTGCATCAGTGCGACTGGAGCTATCGACGTGCTCAACGTCCAGATGGCGAAGGTCAGCAAGCTGGAGTTCGAGAAGGACATCCCGCTTTACGACGGTGACCCGGCACTCTTCGAGGAGTACCAAGAGAGAGCTCGTGACGCCTACTTCGGTCGCATGGGCGACGAGAAGCAGATCGCGACGCCGATCAACCTACGCAACGGCCTCAGTGGGACGGTCTACGACGCGGTGCGAGGCTTGACCCACGCGCAGCTGCTGACCTTCGACGTCGAAGCGGTCGAAGGCGGCAAGGGCGGCGCGAGCTACGAGAAGAAGCGAGCCAACACAACTGGATTGGAGCTGCTACTGACGACGCTGGGAGAGTCTGTGATGAAGGAGCGACCTGTCAGGGCGGCAGAGCTGTTCGACGGTGCGCTGTACGACAAGACTGTCTGGAGGGCCGCGGGCGAGAGCATGCAGGAGTATATCACGAGGCGCTCGAAGGCGTTCGAGGACATCAAGAAGGTAAGCGAGAATACGACGATCAGCGACGACCTTCAGGCGCACCTGCTGCTGAAGTTCTCAGGGATCGAGAAGAGCGATCACGCCAGCATCATCAGCTCGGCGGGCAATCAGTACAGCAAGGAGGCGTTCACCAAGGCCCTGAGGATGCAGCACCCGAACATCCATGAGCGCAAGCATATGAAGAATAAGGAACAACGCGGAGATGCTCGCCCACAACGGTCGGGGGGCGTCGGCATCAGCTTCGGGCTCAGGCGTGGCAGGCTGGAAGACGATGGGGAGGACACGGCCTCCTACGTCGCGTCGGAGCCCGAAGTCTACTTAGGAGAAGACGAGACCAGCCTGGAGGAGCTCGACCAGATGGACGAGGAGGCGCTGGAGAGCTTCGCGGCGATTGCAGCGCAAGCAGAAGTTTCAGTCGAAGGGCCGCGGCAAGGGCCGCGGTAGGAGCAATTCACGCTCGGCGGGTACGTCGGGGAGCTCACGGGACCGATCCCACAGCCGCGGCCGCAAGGGTGGCGACAACCCGGAGAGGAGCCCATGATTGAGAAGCTGAAGCGGACTGCGCGGTGTGCGAGCCGTGGCCAGATCGGGCACTGGCACGGCGACCCCGCGTGCCCGAAGTCTTCCAAGGCGGCGCCGCCGCCATCGGACCGCCCCAAGTCGAGCTGCTCTGGCTTCCGCGACTCCGGGGACGAGGAGGTCAGCGGCGGCGCCGTCAGGATCGCCGGAGGTGTTCGTGGCAGGAGCGCCCTCGACCTCGGCGGAAGTCGGCTCCGGGCTCGGAGCCCGGGCGAAGGCCGGGCCCAAGGAGGCGACAGGACAGAGCACGCAAGGCGGCGACGAGACGCTCAAGGCCAGCGCGGACGACGGCGACGGGGCGGCTGGGCTGCCACGACGGCGCGGGCGTCCACGGCCCGTCATGGGCCGCCCCTGCGAGCACGCGCTGAGGGCGTCCGCCTGTTCAGGGGCGCGAGAAGGGCCCACCGGTGCTTGACGTGCCAGCAGCGTCTGCCGAGCCAGCTCGGCATTCGCGTGGTCCGAGCGCACCGTGCCGACGGAGAGCAGCTTTGGAAGTACTCCGTGGCATCACTGCTGTTCGCCCCGAAGGACAGGGCCACCTTCCCGACGGAGGCCCCAGTGAACGGGAGGGTGAGGTCGTCCGACGGGGTCTGCAGGGCCGCGAAGAACCTGCCGAAGGTGAGATGCGCGGCGGTGGAGACGATGACCAAGACCGCACACGAGGTGAAGGTACCATCCGACGACGAGGAGCTGGACGAGACACCGACCGCCGAGGAGCACCCGCACGAGGAGGACAATCTCGAGGAGCACGTGTTCGTGGCGTGCCCGGCGGACTTCGACCGGGACGTCGTGGGCCTGGACATGGAGTGTGTCCCCCTCGGCAGCGAGAAGATCAAGGTTGGCAAGCACAGAGGATACACATTCGCGGAGTTCGTGGACAGCGGACCTGGGGCCCGAGCCTACGGGCACTCCCTCATCAGGGCGGCGATGGCAAGCGACACGTTCAAGCTCAGCGTCGACCAGTACCGCTTGGCGTGGTTCCTGATCTACCTCATGGCGATGGGCGACTGGGACCCCCCCCGTCACAGGAGGAGAACGGGAGCTTCCAGGTCCTCATGGTCGGGACCGCGGAGGAGGCCAACGAGGTTTCCAGCTCGGCGTCCTGGGACGCACCCGGAATCGCGGTGCTCGACACGGCTTGCCAGATGACCATGCATGGCACGCCCTGGAGGATCAAGTACGAGGAGGCGTTGCGGGCCAGGGACCTCAAGCCGATCCCAAGGTCACGCAAGACTAAGTTCAGAGGAGTCGGCGGAGACGCGTACAGCGACACGGTGTACAGGATGCCAGCCGGAATCGCCAACAGCGCGTTCACGATCGAGTCCGCAGAGCTCGACCAGGATGCGCCCATGCTGATCTCCAAGGACACGCAGTCCAAGCTCGGGACTGTCATTGATGTGGCGAACGGCGTCGCCAACTTCAACACCATCGGTGCACATGACGCACCGCTGGTCCTGACGAGCGGTGGCAACCTGGGGGTCAACTTGCTTGACTTCCCAGATCCCAAGGCGTTCGACCCGGGGTTCCAGGTCTGCTTCGAGCAGGACCGGTCTACCCAGGGCGGAGTCGACACGGACGTCATTGACGCAGCGGAGGCCATCGGCGGGTACGCCAGCGAGGTCAGCACCAAAGCGGAGATCGAGGAGGTCTTCGAGGATCCCAAGACGATCGACTGAGGCGACGACCCGTCCCTGCGGATGGCAAGCTCTAGGAGGGCGAAGAGGGTTCAGGCGATGCACGAGGACCTGAAGACCATCGAGATGCGGACCTACGACGTGATGGTCGGTACGGCCACCCGTACCAGGCGACTCCCCAGGGGTAAGACGCTACTCAAGCAGTTGTTCTGCGGCCAGTCTGGCATCAACATGCTCGCGACCCTCAGTTTCGGGTACGGCTGTGGGCAACCCCTGGACCTCGAGTACGGCTGGGACGGCACCACGCGCAAGGGCAGGCAGGAGGCGAGACGCCATTTCTTGGAGGAGGACCCCTACTTGACGATCATCACCATGCCCTGCGGCCCGTGGGGCAACTGGGGAAGGTGCAATATCTCCAAGGGAGGCGCAGCAGCTGCGACGGTCTTCGAGGCACAGGAGGCCACGGGACCACTGCTCGCCCGATCTGATCAAGTCGTGGTGGATCGAGTTGGACGCGGCCGACACGTTCTACTGGAGCAGCCCCTCGGATCGAGCGTATACGACCAGCCCGAGATGAAGAAGACCAAGAAGCTCATCGAGGATGGCGTCCTGGTGGAGTGCACCCCGCACGGCTGCCAGCTCGGTTACAAGGACGAAGTTACGGGCGACCCACACTACAAACCTATGAGGATCCTAACCACGTCGGTCGCCATCTACGACGCACTATACAACGCGAAGTGCGACCGTTCCCAGAGGCACGCGCCGCTCGAGAACGAGAAGAGGATCAGGGCCGCAGCCAAGCGGCCCGACGAGCTGGATCGTACCATCCTCTCGGCCACCGAGCATCAGATTGACCCGGAGATTGCCGAGCAAGTCGACGCCAACATGATGAAGTGTCTTCCAGTGGAGGAGCCGACGGTCAAGAAGAGGAGGCTGCGCGGCAAGCAGCCGAAGCGCAAGGGAGCCGGAGAGCAGCGACCCGAGGCGGATCCCCCGGCCGAGGACGGGCCGCGGGACGAGGACGGGCGTCAGCCTCCGCGCGGAGCTTCGCAGGTCCCCGAGGACCCTGCGGGAGTGCGTGCTGAAGCTGCTGCGGGGGGGGAGCCCATACTATCGCAGGAGGAGGAGA